TCACAATTTTTTTTTTTACCTTCTGTTTACCCCGGAGTTCTTGACAACATCCAGAGACGGATATGTAATATAATTGGCCCTGATCTGGCGTCTCGTCTACAGTCACTCTCTCACAGACGCGCCGTCGCCTCTCTCTGTCTTTTCTACAAATACTTTCATGGTAATTGCTCCGATGAGCTGCTTTCACTGGTTCCCAGACTCCATGAATTCAAGCGCCCTACGAGGCTGGCATCTCGCTCCCACCCTTACACTATAGAAACTTTTAAATGTAGCCGTCTCTTCTACTCCAATAGCTTCATACCTCGAACCTCTCGCCTGTGGAACACCCTTCCCAATTACTGTTTCCCTGAGAGCTATAATCTCCAACTATTCAAATGTAATGTCAATCGACATCTCCAGTTACATTGATCTACCCACTATCCCTCTCCTCATCCTTTCTTCTATCCCTCCTATCTGCTCTTGCTCCAAATCTTCTGCAACCCCCTGCATCCTAGTGGCTTCACGCCTTGCTCGGGGCGCAATGCTTAAAAAAAAAAAAAAAAAAAAAACTGAATGTGCATTTCATCTTGTTGGCTGGCAGTAATCATCGTCTGCGATGCTTTGGTGTGTTTCAAGAAAACTTTAATGATATCCCAGCTGTAATGTTTTTTTACAGGTAAGTGTACAGCACTTTGTACATCAAGTTAATATAAATCTCGTTATGCTTTTAGTTGTATCTTTCTCTTTCTCTATTCGTTTTGGTCCGTCTCCCTTATGTATTCATTGTCAGGGTTTTTGTCACTATCTATGAAAAGATAAAGAACGTTTACCAATCATTTTTCACTTTTATTAAAGCTTCATCACATAATATATCTCTGATGAAGCTTTAATAAAAGTGATACATGATAGATTGATAAACATTTCCTATTTGTTCTTTATCTTATCGGTCTGTTTGATTTTCATCCTTTTTTGGTCTTGATGAAACCAGACGAAACTCTGGTGGAAGTACGAAGCGCCTCTGACGTGCAAATCGATCTTCGAAACCGAGTGTATGGGGGCGAAGGAGCAATCGAGCCGTCTAGTAACTGGTCCCCTCCGAAGTTTCCCTCAGTTCCATCTTCGCAATTCCATCCGGTAAAGCGAACGATTGGAGGCACCGGGGCCGTTCACTTCCTCGACCTACTCTCGAACTCTGAACGGGTTGAATGGGTCGACTCTCCTGAATATGAAGCCGTATCTCTGCTCTGCTGTCGCCCCCGAAAAGGCGGCAGAAAGGAATGTGAGTGCCAAGTGAGCCACTTTTGGTAAGCAGAACTGGCGCTGTGGGATGAACCAAACGTCCGGATTTAGGTGCCTAACGCGACGTCCATGAGATCCCCGAAAGGGTGTCGGTCGATATAGACAGCAGGACGGTGGCCATAGAAATCTGAATCGGATAAGGTGTATGTAACAACTCACTTGCTGAATCGAGCGGTCCCTAAAATGGATGGCGCTGGAGCGACGGACCGATACCGGTCCGTTTCGGCGAGGAGCGCTTGCGCTAGAAACAGGAAACTATGCGCGCGCCTGGTGCCGCGACGATTCGGAGTGCGCCGCGGTGAGCACGGGAGCCTAGGGCGCGAGTCTGGGTGAAGCCGTCCGCGGGTACAGATCTCGTTGGCAGTAGCAAATATTTCATCCTCTCTAGCTATCTTGTTTTTTTAGATCAATCACCGTTTGGAGTCTATCCCAAAGAATGCACATCTTTTACGCAAACTGATTCACAGGAATGGCGGCTCAATTTTGACTAATCGTTATCAAGCCTGGTTTGGTTAGTAATCATCCCTAAATGAGTTGCTTCATGCTCAGCGGAAAACCGCGTATGATATACACAACCTTTCGGTCGTTGTTCACTCCGGCCTTCTTAAGTTGATTGGAATTTCGAAGAGGTATGTCACGTGGAACTAGAACAATATACCCCGGTGAACGAAATAATGGGTTCGGTTAGAATCTTCCTTCACATGAAGAAGTCCGGAGTGAACAACAGAATATGGCGGATGAGGATATCAGTCTAAATAATGTAAACGATCATGATACATCATATCAGAGATATAGACAGATGTTAAATAATCATTGCACAAACATAATCGTACAAACACTCACGTACATGTGGCCTTGTGCATTCTTAACTTTTGGAAAAATTTTAAAGACATTTTCTTGAAATATGGAGAAGATTGTTATATATAGATAGATTTGAACAGAGAGATACAGATTGAAACAGACTGTGATAGACAGATAGAAGATAGAATGACTGAGACTGATACGAATGGATTCTAATAACTAGATTGAATATTTTGTACGATCTAAATTCTGTCTTTGTTCTTTTTCATAATGTCAGAGGCAGTGACGCCTATGGGCGGTTATACGCACACTAAGCGAGGATATCCTGACATAGAATTTCAGATAACAACATAAATGTCTGGAGGGTACATTGACAAAAAGTTGTGAAAACACCAGACAACAGAAATCAGCAAATACGCCCGATTCAAATTATAAACTTAATAAAATACAGAAAATTCAGGGAAAGATGCAAAATGTAGTTAGGAACATATATAAAAGCATAATTAGCTAGAAATATCCTTAGATAGGTAAAAAGACATAGAAAGAAACAAATAGATAGATCGATAGATAGACATAGAAAGAAACAGACATAGATAGATATAGAAAGAAAGATACAGAGATCGATAGAAACACACATGTAGATATATAAATAGACGGAGAGAAACAGGTAGAAACACACACACACATATATATATATATATATATATATATATATATATATATATATATATATATATATACAGAGAGAGAGAGGAACATAGAAAGTAAGATAGAAGCAGATAGATAAATAAAAACATAGATAGATACGACTGAATGAAGCACAAGGATTCCACAGATGTGCTAAATATTACACAGAAAATAAATATTTAATCCTAAATATAGAGGTGATATTGTGTGCCAAATAATATATGCTATGTTCTGCCAAACTAGTTCATGTGCCACATTCTGACAATCGGTTTTCTTTCTCTCTCTCTCTCTCTCTCTCTATATATATATATATATATATTTATGCAGATACATATTTGAGTATTAAGTTTCCAAATAATTTAAGCAAAATTATGTTCCGATGCATTCATATAAATAATAGAAAAAAAATTACAGAAATCTTATAAACAAATTCTAACTCACAACTAGAAAGACATACAACACACACACACATATATATATATATATATATATATATATATATATATATATATATATATATATATATATATATGTATGTGTATATATATATATATTTATGTGTGTGTGTATATATATATATGTACATATCTGTATGTGTATATATGTGTGTATATATATATATATATATATATATATATATATATATATATATGTGTGTGTGTGTGTTTGTGTGTATATATATATATATATATATATACACACATACTAATATAATTATTACAATTAATACAAATATATATTTGCTCCTCACTGCTTGGTTTAAATTTAAATTTCATTCACGTGTCAATAGTCAACCAAAAATTGAAAAATGCATCAAGTCATGTGAAATTATTATCTTCACTAATTGTGTGTTATGTTATTTTTATACATGCTTAAAAAATCAATAGATAAATATACAGATAGACAGACATGAACAGTGTTAACGTAGAAAATGCACTGAGCATTGTCGTGTGGCAGAGAGAATCAATGATGAATTTACATGTGGATAAGGTTACTATGCTTCTATTTTCTTCTAGTATGTTTCGGATGCAGTCTAGTAATTATGTCTCTGTGTTTAAATGGGTCCTAACGGAGCTATGGTCTGGTTGGTGTAAAAGAACTGGTCTGGGTAGGTATGTATTAATGTGTCCGACGGAATTATTTATGAGATTGGCTTGATCAAGAACAGTTTGAACTCGTCAATAACGCTGCTTCTTAATGTAGTTGTGATTTTACATGTGTCTTGTAATTTTTATGATTAGTTTAGCTGTTTTCGTTTTTTGTAATAGATAATTTATTTTTGCGTATCGATTAGGGTAATGCATTTATTCCTTTGCGATATTTCTAAGTGCAAATTCATCTTGCTTAAAGTTGACGTGTATTTGGATTAACATTCACATCTTCTGCAAAAGCCACATACACAACGTTTTTAGAAGATGTTAATGTTAAGCCAAATAAACGTCAATAATTCTTGATAATGGCTAAAAGTATAGCCGAAAGAGCTCGGACATGCAGAACTTTTGAATAAATTTGACACACTTTTTCTCCTGATAAGAAAATACTTATACAAACACAAAAAATATTAAATTAACTACTTTAACTCTGTCTCTCTCATTATATATATATATATATATATATATATATATATATATATATATATATATATATATATATATATATATGCACCTATTTTAAAGCAATAATAAATGGTATCTAGTATACGTTATATAATTGTAATTTGATTGCGTAAAAATATTTACCCAAGTAGGGGTAGTGTTTGATTGTTGACCTCTTTAAAAACTTTATTTTATTTACAACATCACTTGACAAGACACTAGAAGTGTTGAAACTAAATGGCTATTTTTTCAGTGATTTTGTAACATACTTAATGTTATAATTTTTAAATAAAATATTACACACATACACACACACACACACATATATATATATATATATATATATATATATATATATATATAGGGAGAAATGATTAAAAAATATATACAGAAATATTTTTATACTCATCTATTTACAAACACAATAGAAATATTCGACAAATTTTTCAAGAGCGACGAAGAACGGAGGGTTGTGGAGAGCCATGATCCCCAACTTCCTGCATGGAAACGACACAGAGAAGAATATATATATATATATATATATATATATATATATATATATATATAGAGATAGAGAGAGAGAGAGAGAGAGAGAGAGAGAGGGATGAGAATGAGAGAGAAATACGAATGTCAACTTACCGTCGTTATCCTCGTAAAGTATTGTAAATCTCTTCCAGTTCCAATGTACTACCAGATCCAAGAATACACGGCTCAGGGTCAAGTAATGCGGGTAAAGATTTATTGAAAAATAGTCTATGTCCTTAATGTCTCGAGAATCCCACCTTGTTTGCAGATGTGGGATTTCAAGCGCGTAGCATATAGACTGTACGTGCGCGGCCGAAGAGCTAGAAAGTGGCCCGAATACAGCAGCCACACCTTCCTCTAGTTGTTTACAAACTGAAAAACACAAAGCAAAAAGTAAAATTTTATTATCGTTTGTTGAAATCAAATCTCACATTAAAATGAAGGTTGCAGACATAGCAATTTCAAAGAATGTGTATTAATCATCTATAAATTAGCAAGCGCAAGGTTTACCGGTGTGGACATGTTACTCGCCTGTCAAGCTTCACTTTCGAAAAAAGTGATTGATTTCAGTTTCGAAACATTACAGTTTGAAAGTATGAAACTTCACCTCCATTATTATGATGTTTGGACTGTTTCTGCTTGGCTTAGGTTGTCAGGTAGTCTGAAAAAGGAAAGCTCTGAATTCAAACCGTATGTATTTGGGGTGAGCAACTCCAACCTGTAAAACTGACTTATTCCGAAAACCGCTGCAACAATACAAGGCTTTATGAGGTTATGTCTCTATACACCACAGAGGAGTCTATATTTTTTAATATATTTAAAACTGTATAAGAATGCTCGTATTTTCATATATATAATACGACCCTCGGACACCTCGACGTGGTGTAATGGTTAGAAAGCTTGTCTTGCTAGATCAGTTACGATTGATTAGTGAGTTCGATTCTCACTGGGTGCCTCATACTTTCGGCTATGTGCTACTTCTAAGCCAGGTTTAGAAAATCACTATAATACGACCCTGGGTTTTTGAAGCTAAAAACTGGGTTGGTTGTTCAGATTTTGTTTGACGGTTCAGTTTATACCAACTATGTGAATACAAATCTTAGATACACAAATATACTTCATTTTCTTTCAAATAGAGGAGTTCATTTTGCTAAATATTTTTGTTTGTTTAACGGTATAACAACTCCCCATGTGCCATTTAAGCACCTATAATTTTTATAAGCAATGAAAATGTATTGGTAGCACCTTCACTATAAAAGTACAAATTCTACAGTTTCATAGGTTTTTGACTTTAGTTTTGAGGTTAAATCTTTGCTCATAGCTTTGGGACTAATAGGTGCTACCACCCCTAGTCAGGGTGGAGTTGGGAACAACAGCCATTAAGAGGCGGATCAAAACACCTCAAAACCTCCCGAGTAGATGTCTTGCTGCCAGATGAAGTTTACCATCATTACTCAAGGTGTTTATTTACTGAAAGAAAGGTATAAATTACATCCGTGAATATAATACCATCCCATAGTACTCTCACGATATTTTGGGTGGAAATTTTGTTCCTTATCATTTATCTTAAAAGATCCTAATATTTTGCGATTTAAAATTATAAGCACTGGTGTACACTATATAGTAATATAATTATTTTGAGGTTAATTACGTATTGTATTGTTTTTATTTTCTCGAATAGTTTGAAGTTTACAAACTGGATACTGTGTGCCAACAAACGGAAAAATATGAAACGACAACCGCACAGCATGGGAATTGCCGCGCAATTTTGGCAAGCTTGAAAAACATAAAAGAGTAAAAAATTAATATAAAAATAAGCCCTTTGTTGTAACATTAATGATATGAGAACATGACATATTTTATATTCACTTTATTAAAATTTAATCAGTTTCGGCTAATTTCATGTCTTTGAGACGAAAGACGTTCAATTACACTGATTTCCAAAGAACAAATATTGCCGATATACCAAATACCTTTTGTAAACACTTGCTTTCAATGCTAGCCTATTTTGTGTTTCATTATCTGTTGTCCTGAGTGTATTTGCAGTCTTGCTGTTTCAAATAAGAGATTTTGTAAGCTGCTAAAACATTTCTGTAAACGGACTTGTGTATAATGCGAACTCTTTTTTCCCTTCAATTTTTGTTCAACATATCTATGCACAAAAAATAGGGTGCACAATTAGTTATAATTCTGGAACCCTTGAATTAAATCAGCCTCTATAGTTAATCTTTTTTTCTCTGATGGTGTAAAAATAGTTATAATGATTTAACCCTTGGAAGAAATCAATATCTTTAGTTAATATTTGTCTCTGATGGTGTAAAAAATAGTTATAATGATTGAACCCTTGGAAGAAATCAGTATCTTTAGTTAATATTTGTCTCTGATGGTGTAAAGATTAGTTATGATGCGTGAACCCTTGGATAAAAGTCTCTATAGTTAATCTTTTTTCTCTGATGGTGTAAAAATTAGTTATAATGCGTGAACCCTTGGATAAAAGTCTCTATAGTTAATATTTTCTCTGATGGTGTAAAAATTTAATTTCTTTTCCTAAAAATTATAATAATTCTTAAACAAATTTTTACATATTCCTAAAATATTGGATGCAATACATTCGTAGTGTTTTTTTTCACAAACGTTTCACCCCAAGCATAGTGTCGATATCACTAGAACTCAGCGGATTACAAAGAGTGAATGTGAATGAGAAAACGGAGAATGTGTCAGATTGAGGAAAGGACAAAAGTAGAACAGATTCCAAGAAAACAGAAGCTGGTGAATGACGTTGCATTTAAAATTTGGTAGATTCTAGTTATCAGGGAAGCAAGAAATCAGGAGTTACTTATAAATGTAGAAGGATGTGAGAAACGAAATAGAGTAGAATTATGGTTTCATGGAGCTAGTTCAAGTGTAAAAAGGTGACGCCTTGTTGCCAATCTAGTTGCACGCTTAAATTCATGTAAGACGAGGTACTAGAGAAAACTCTCATCAGAACAGTTGCCATAAAATATATTTTTTCTGTTTGTTTACCATGTTCAAATTTAATTATACCAATAGAAAAACTGCATTTTATTTAGGCATGCAAATAATTTTGACGAGCAGAGAATTCGAGTGTATAAGATCGTTTTAGAAATATCTATAAAATTCATAAAATTTGCTTTTTAAATACTGCGTTTCAGAGTGAATGTTTTTATATGTAAAAAGAAAATAATTCAGTTATAAAGAGCTAGCTGCAAAAAGAAATGTCTTTCAGAACATTTAACACGAATTTTATTGCATTCAGCCCTACAGAGATTGTTGCTTTTCTTTTTATATTTTTTTTATCAGGTTAATATTGATAAATATTCAGAAATATAACTGCATCGCCCTTCAAACATAAACAGCTCACACCTTTATTTTATGTTTTCGTTGAATTTTACAATTTGATACAGCTTTTTTTTTCTTCTTGCATCAGTTCAATTTATATTTTTCTTTTACTTTTATAATTGGTGAAATAATATTTCCAAAGCCCTTGGTGGTATCGTGGGGTACTTGTGTTCTCACTTATCCGAGGATGGGGGAACATCTAAACACTCAAAATTGGCAGGAAATAGCGTGCATTGGGGATGAGATTTAAAACGGAGGAAAGGGAAAAATCCGTTCTCAAGTCGATGCATGACTGCTTTAAAAGCACGCTATCACGTCAGGGGATATAGGAGATAATTTCGATAACATCGATCAAGAAAAAGTTAAAAATTAAATAACATTATATATATATATAGTATGGATGGGTGTGACGGAAAAAAAAAAGACTAAGACAAAAACAGACGAATGGATAAACAGTCGCATTATTATATATATATATATATATATATATATATATATATATATATATATGTATAGAGAGAGGTGTAAGATCGAGAGGCACATGCCGACTTTGTACACACGGATAGACACATAGGTAAATACATGCACATATATTATATATATATATATATATATATATATATATATATATATATATATATTTATTAAAAATGATAGAGATGGAGAGACAGGGAAACAGATATGAAAGAAGAGAGATAGAGAGGTATGGAGAGGGATAAAGAGTGTGAGAGATGCACATCTCCTATATTGTTTATCTTTTGTTGTACGTGATTGATATGGTAATGATCATTTTTAGGGTAAGTTTTTTTTTTTAATTGTGTCTACGTTAATTTTTTTTTTCCGAATTCACCCCATGCAAGGATATAAACCCACCGACACGCAAGAGGTTACTGGGTGCGGAAGAGTTAGAAATATGAACATTGCTAAGGAGAGAGTATTGATTTTCTAAGCGAGGCTTAGATGTGGCACATGGCCGAAACTATGGGGCACCCAGTGAGGATCGAACTCACTATTCAGCGGTAACAGTTTTAGCAAGACCAGCTTGCTAACCATTACCCCCACGACGAGGCTCCCACAAGAGGATTTAGTGACTGACATTGCTGTAACGCATGGAGCCGGAAGGGAGATATACTAATGAGGAGTGAGAGAAAAGAATGTGTTTGAGTTAGGTGTTTCGTGCATGTATGTGTTGCGCAGATAGAAATTACTCAAATAAGTACATCACCCACGAGTACACTCGTATTTCTTTATAATTACGTTGATCTTGAAGAAGAAAAATTCGACGGAATTTTTTTTTTTTTATTATCCTTCGATTCTTGTACATTTATAAACACATAGAATGTTCTTTTAATATTCCATATCTCTATACTTGTTCTCGATTTTACACGATCGCTATCGAGGAACACGTTTTCAGTGCTTCACACACTTTCGTTTGATATTTCCGGGATAAATTTCTATTCATTTCCAAAGCATTCTTCAGGCAGTAATTTTATTTGACAAAATAGAAAAAAATAAAGTACTTTTTTTTCACTTCTTTTTCTTCTCTGCTTCTGTTTATGATATTTCACACGTTAATATGTTTACAATATTTGTTTCTTTTATTTCATGGCCTTTTCGACATTCACTTATTTTCGCGAAGCGGTATCTTCAAGTCCTATGACTTAAAATAAATATGTTGATTCATTTACGTAAGTCGATACGCTGTTGCATGCTCAAACATTAAATAATGCTGTAATATATATATATATATATATATATATATATATATAAATGATGGTACTTGCTTGGAAAACAATCGTCCAGAAGTCAAGCTCAGAGTCCAAAGAAAAGAAAAACCTCCAAAACGAGTAAAATCAACTACCGAAAGTGCTCAATACACGAAGTAGAGCAAACCTAATATAAACTTAAAGAGCCAGGTAAACCTATCTAGTTTTGCCTGGCTCTTTAGGTTTATATATATATATATATATATATATATATATATATATATATAGATAGATAGAGAGAGGGAGTGAGGTGTGCTTTTATAAAAAAGACAATAAGAATAAAATGCGTTTCGTACTTTGATGGTATGTAACAAGAGGAGGAGACGTCGATAAGAATAGATATTTTGTCTTATATATATATATATATATATATATATATTTTTCTCAATTGCCCAAACATCAGGCTATACTACACATGTGTTTCCTTCAAGACCCTACGTCCATCTCCTATTTCTTATCTCTTTACTTCTCCAATTTTTTCCTTTTTTTTCTTTTATCCATTTTCCTATATCATTTCCTGTGAGTTGACCAATTAAATAGGTCAATGTCTGATCCTGACCCTCACTCTTCCTCAATATTAAGTTTTGTAATAAAAATAAATTTTAAAACTCTCCCTTCCCTCTCTAAATTCGACCATGTCTCTCACACTTTCCCTCACCACCCTCTATGTCACCTTATATAAGTTAATTCTGCCCTTCAAAATTGTAAATTTTAAACTCATTTTTTCACCCTTAAAAATGAAGTCTGAAGATCCAAAGAAAAAAAAAACTGTGGTTAAATAAATTGTAGCTAATGGAACATTAAAGTGGTCTGGTTTTTAAATTGAATTATTCCCTCTGATTTAATATTGAGCTCTCTGGATTTCCTCCTCGCTGAGATTATCCATAAGGACTACCAATATTTTCGTTACTTAAATATATATATATATATATATATATATATGTGTGTGTGTGTGTGTGTGTGTGTGTGTGTGTGTGTGTGTGTGTGTGTGTTTTCTGGTATATTTATGAATAAGTTTTTATTTAAATAGGTTTTTATTAAATTCAAAAATAAAGTCTCACTGTTTTAGATGTTTTTATTATATATTTTTTAAATTTTCGTATAAGGTGCACATTCATACAAATTTTGTTGACAAACATTTTTGTTCTGACCTCTCTTTTTCAAATAGTATCGCCTTCCTTAGTCATTATCTATAACCGGATGTTGTGAGTATGTTAAGTCTATTCAATACGTTTGGAAAATTTCAGAAAAATAGCAATCTGTTTTCCTTGGATTTTATTTTCAATATCTCATTTTAAACAGATTCCCTCAACGAGAAATTCTATTCTATGTGATTGCAGGATTAAAAAAAAATAATATATATATTATTTGAGCGGGGATAGGCAGTATCCTTGAATGAAATTGGCAGGATTTAAGATTTCATTAGGAGTGATGTGACCTTTCCATGGTGAGCCAATCATTAATCATAAAATATGGGATATTTTGTGTGCATGTAAACATTATTCTTTGTAATCAAAATTCATTGAATATTGTTTAATAAAAAGAAATGGCCCTGATATCTTTATTTTTTCATTGATCCAATGCCATTTATGATAATTAATAATTTTATACAGCAAATCGGATATGAAAATATATCCATATACCTCTATTTTTTTTTTTTTCAAAAGAAGGTAATTTTTCAACGTTGGGTTGAGAGCAACCTTTAAATAGCAGCCTTTCTCCTGCATAACTCGATGCGTATATGACGCACGAAAGCCTTTTGAAAACACTTGAAAATTATGGCACGTTTAACTAGAACAGTGAACCCCAGCGAGCGAAATAAACCCCCTGAAGAAGGCGGGAGCGTACAACGGTCGAAACGTTGTGATAAATATGTCAACTAAGATGAGGTCAAGAATCCAAGAAAATTAGTTATTTAAATGTAATACATTCTTCATCGATAAATACGAAAATATTTGGTTGTTACGAAATTTGAATGGGGTTAGAGTAATGTCGTGTTTGTTTCCTTGTATGCATGCGAATCATGGGATCTAACAGCGGGACTCCAATGTCTGATCCAAGTTGTCGAGATGCTTCCAACTTCTGTCTGATATTTCCGACACCGACTGCGTCAACAACGAAGCGGTACGTTGAAGAAGAATCGTAAGATAAACGTCTATGGAGACATGTTTACCTCCATAAAGAAGAGGAATATAAAGCGGGATTGCTGAGGAACCACATTACAAGACCTCTTCAAGACCATCCTACAAAGAACGGTACATCGATTAAGTATAATTGAACACCAAACTACGGATAATATGGAAGGAACCAGCAAATGTTTTGCCCAGACACAGCCGCCGACCAGAGAGTTGTATAAAATGAAATCTTCTTGTTGGACAAACCACTATGTAGTGGTCCCTCGTCTCTGGTAGCTTATGAGACAAGAAGAAGTAAATTGTCCCCAACTTCGTAAATGTGATAAAACACAAACTTTCTATCTCTAAACTTCACTAATTTAATGTGATTCGAAAACATTCTATATATACATAATATATTACCACCTATATCTTATTTCTTATCTCTTGTTCAGTTAAGCGTTTCAGTAAATCAAATTTATGAATATTTCATTCATACAAAAGCACATATGAGAAATTATTTGTCTTTCTGCTTTCCACCGTTCGTGAACGAGGGACCGTATATTCTGCTTGAAGTCATGAAGTGTCAACTCCCAAAGCCAGTAACCCCCGGCATTAAATAGTAAATAGTTGCGAGACGAAGAAAGGGTGGAAAAGGAAAATAAAACCTATTTAGATCACTAAATCTTTCAGTGGTCACGTTGGATAACCTGTATTATCAGCCATTTCTCCTTGATTGATACTTATACTAAGCTATCTATAATGAATTTAAAAACGCTCTCACGGACGCATGCGCAAATGCATCGACCCTGAGTTTTTCGTTACTATGCTGAGATTTTTGAACAAATAAGTGGCACCTGGAGACGATGGAACGCACTACTCTCTTGTAACATGTTCACCAAGTAAAACTCGAAATTGGGTTGAACTTCAAAAGATTGTGTTGGGAAAGAAAGTGAAACACATGTAGAAGGAAAACGAATGCTAAAAGGAAAAAAAATGAAAAAGAAAAGAGGCCAAAAATTATAGACACCGAAAAGTGAATTAATATCGAAAAAAAAAAACAAAAAACGATAAGAATTATTGGAGACTTAAATAATTAATCGTAAAAATGGGCGATAGAAATAATGTAAATACATAGAGTAAAATACAAGTTATAAAAATACACCTCTGACGTGAATTTATATGACAGATTCATGCACATTATATATATATATATATATATATATATATATATATATATATATGTATGTATGTATGTAAGGTATATTTAAGAAAATATTTATCCTAAAACGCTTGATTAAAGAAAACCTGCAAGATCTGTTTGATTATTTTTTAAGTTTTAGGTTTTGCGTATTTTGCTCGAAGTGGTGGATAAACTATCCGATGTTATTTTTTTAAAATTTTTGTTTAAGTACATTTTGACTTTCGCAGTCATTATCAAGAACCGATATGGGGTCCGTGAGTTAGGATATAGGCAAAGGAATTCTAACTATTATTTTGGGGGAAGCTGCTGTCTATACTATTTAATGGAACATGCATCAATGAAGAAATGCTGCCTAAATACACACAATTTAAATTGCATGGCTCAGCAGCCTGCAAACTATCAAAACTTTTATTTTTCCTGCCTAAAAGTCTCTGACATATATTCCTTATATCGTTAAATCTTATATATTTTTATCTATATTTTTTCAGCATGAATCTCATTTTTTTAAACATTGAAATTAATTTCTACCGGCCTACATATACAAAGGATATTTAAAGAGAGTATGTCTACAGATAGAAATAGAAACCGTATACATTTAATTTTTTCTGTGAAAACAATTTCAAGCCAAAGATGCTTAACCACGGAACCAAAAGTCAATTACCTATCATTCATTTTATATATATATATATATATATATATATATATATATATATTTATATATATATATATATATATATATATATATATATATATATATATATATATATATATATATATATATATATATATATATATATATATATATATATATATATATATTTGTATATATATATATATATATATATATATATATATATATATATATATTATATTTACATGTGTGTATGCATTTATCATCATTATCGTCAGTTTGTGCATTGAAATGTTTGTTAAAAAATTGGTAATATCGCAATTATATCGACACATGTCCTCTTTAAAAGCAAGAACAAAGGATGGAGGCATTACTTTGATGTAGAACGTTTGGCGAAATGGCCTTAAGTCCCTCATTATTCTCCATTGAAACTGTAAATCTTTTCCACGTTCCTCTCATATTAATACAAGTAGAGAGACCGACACTTAGGAATATTGATTTTATTCACAAAATAAAACTTTTATTGCAGTTTTCTTCCAGTGAGGAGATAATGGAATCTATTTAACCCAATATGTGCAAAAATGAAAATTTGTCGTTGTCTTGTGATTCATTGCGTGTTGAACAGACCACCTTCTCCCAGTCCACTTCTAATTGTGTAGACATATTTGACGAGAATCTCAAAACATTTTTATGTACAGTTCTATATTTAGGATGATTGGGTGAAAAATATCGCCATAAAAGCGTCAGACTTAATGATTTCGATCCATTTAATTTAAGCGTGTAACCTCATTAAAGAGTTTATGTCTGTGTATAGAATGATGTATGCAAAGGGGATGATAACTTTGAAGATTTACGTACAACTAGAAATATAATGAGCTGGGGATAGCCATGATCTCACACGTCAGAAAAATTTATTGATACATAAAATAGATATTAATTACGTTATTCACTTGTGATTAAGTCCACTACATTATTATTACGCTTAACGTTGCATTTTCGTCAGTGTTTGACTCCTCAAAGTTCCCATTGAGTGATAATATTGCCTAACTAGGATACCTAAGGACCGGAAAGATGCAGACGATACAACTGATCAAACATTTGAGCATCGACGTGGTTTTAGGGGAAATGGAAATACAAATAGAACTTATACTTAACATCAGGAAGAGGCTGTATAAATTTCCGGGGCACCTAATCCGGAAGGAGGGCCTGGAAAATATGATACTGGCAAGAAAGTTTGAGGTAAATTGGAAGAGAGGAAAGCAGCGCGTAACATACGTAATGGACTTGTGTAATTGGAGGGTAGAAAATGGTTTCGGAGAAATAGCAAAACGACGAAAGGTATTAAGCGTTACAAGGGACAGGATGACGTGGAGTGCCATGATCACCTACATTCTGAAGTGACACGGTATATAAAAGAATAAGGCACACGGACTAAAATTGCCCAAGCAGTAAGGTATGCGGTGTAGAATACGATACGCGAGATTAAGGACTACCGTTGAACTGAGAAAATACGATGGAGTACCCGTTTCATAACACATCCCTTTGTTCTGAACCGAAACCTGTAACGAAGGACTGCCAATGACAGATCAGAAATCTAGTTTCCTGAAAAAAATGTTTACGAGAAATAGTTTATAGTATTCAACGAAAAGCAACTCTGTTTAGCTAATGAATGCCGAATAACTAATTACCAATAAAATATAAACTTATATACATTCTGATCCATTCAAAAGTTTGAATATTAAGGTTTATTATCTATATCTTCATTTTTTTAAGCATATCACCCCCCCAAAAAAAAGCTAGAGTGCTACTAGCGCACCAAGGGTTACAGAGAGTTGGGGCAAGAGTAAAGTCGGGTGTTTGATGAAAAGGTAAAGAGAAAGACGGGGATCAAGATCAAGGTATCAGAAGATGTCGATTGACATTATATTTGAATATTTGAAGATTATTGCTATCAGGGAATCAAGAAAGTGGAAGAGAGTTCCAGAGTAATTGCCATGAAAACATTTGTAGAATGGACAGAGGGAAAACAGCATATTTGGGAGAATGTGACTGTAGACGGGATGCCAAATCAGGGCCTATATTAAAGAGGCCATCTCCTATAACAATAGTGCAGGTTGATATTTCATATTTTTTAGCAAATCAACATTGCATTCAGAATAAAAACTGAGGTTTCAGATCTTAACTTGGCCCAGTAGGAATTACTTTCATAGCTTTTACAAACAGAAATAACTAATTTTCGCAAGTTTTTTTGCTGACAAACGGATATGATTCTTTTCGTATTTCAATAATAAATCCAAATAGAATTAATATCGTTTATATGAGATACATTGAAGGAAAATATATTCAAGAATTACCCCAAAATTTGTTATCAACGTCTATATGCGTGTATATATATATATATATATATATATATATATATATATATATATATATATATATATATTTTATTTCGGCCAATGTTTTATGGGCCAAAGCTGATTAGAAATGTGTTTTATTATTATAACCTTTTATGATAAAATATATATATATATATATATATATATATATATATAAAGAAAGTGAGGTTTTTAATAAATCTCACACATGTTAGAATATAAGAAGAGAATGAAAATACAACTCGTGATTTTATGAATATTTATTTACAGTAACCTTACCTGTTTCAAAGTTTTATGAATTCCAAAATTAACCTGAAATGGAGAGATGCGTGGCTATGTTGTGATATGTCTCACTACTCCCTCATATATATATATATATATATATATATATATATATATATGTATGTGTGTGTGTGTGTGTGAGAGAGAGAATGTGAGAAAGAGACAGAAAGAAAAAAATCCCGTCTGAAGACAGAGTTCAAATATGAAACAACCTGTCGCCACTCATCCTTGACCTCAGTGTCGACTATTAAGCACATGCACAAAAACTATCATGGATATTGAGCACTCTTACCTATGAAGCTATATTTTATATCATATATGAATGACATGCATAAGTGTAAATATATTTCAATAGGTATGAAGAGTTTTACTCATCTGAATGTTTTTTTTCTCATATCAACAGTATGAACTCGAACTGTTCAATGACATACTCCAATCAGATTGCTTAATTCAATTAGCGTCGGTAATCGCCTAATCGATATTTCACTTTTCATTGGTTAAGAGACATTCAGGCACCTGCTTACTGTCAAGATGAAGGCGTCTGCGATTGTCAAATTACCGTATTTAAGGCGTGGAACAAAATGGTTTCTTTCTTCATTTTTCCATTCTCTTTTTTTTCTTAATTCCTTCTTCTACGTACCAGAGCATTTCAGGATTCACGAAATCATGTCACAATTTCATGTCTTTTGTAGCTCTTATTAAATTTTGCTATCTCTCTTAAAACCTGTTCCGCCATCAGTTTATAAAGCTCGTTAGGTAGGTTATGCACTGATTTCCTCTGTCTCTCTCGAGTTCAATCTGTTCCGTGAATGTCAAATGTTTTAAGACCTCTTTTCTCATTATGTCTCTTAGAAATGTAAACTTTCTTTCTGATGTTAAATATAATTGTCCGTTTTGATTTTTTTTCTGTAAAACTTCCTCATGATTGGTCCAGAATATTCTCAGCATCCTTCCGTAGAATCATATTTCTGTTGCCTCAAGTTTCTTCATCTGTGTGGAGATTGCCCAGCATCCACTGCCATATAGGAGGACAGATATTACATAACAGTTAAGTCATCTTTTGTCAGCCATTTGTAATGCTTAGTTGTGTTTAGCTTCCTGCTAATATAATTATATTCTTTCCCCTTTCTCTTTTGCATTTCACACTTGCTGCGCATCTATTGATAATGAAATCCATTCAGATGTCACGACTGAAAATCTTTATCACTGTGAGACTATATTCAGTTTCTTCTAAGGCATAAAAATAAAAAAATAAAGTAATATATATATTTGAGTTTATCTCCTGATAGTGTAACTTCCTCTTTCTTCTTGTAACTACGAAAACCAAAAATGAAAAGAGTAGGCATTTATTTTTTAATTGATAATCGCTAAATTTATAATCTCTGTGGCAATTTTATACATCAAGTTCTACTTAGTTTCATCACAGTATAGGTGTGAGACAGGTACTCAGATATGTACACACTACACATAATTAATGACCGATCAGACTGACTTAACAACCTTAAAAGCATAACGAGACACCATCACGGCAATAGCATCTCTCATCTTTCAGTGTGAATAATAATGTAAGCGTACCATGGCTATTATTGGCGAGTAAAATGCGACTGACGTAACTGAATGAAATTATAGATGAGACCGTTAAGTTGGCTTTCCTACAAAACTAGCTGGGAAGGTAGGAATCGATATCTTAATAAAAAGGATGACTGGATTATCTAACTTTGTTTGTTAACCAATCTAGGAGAAAGAAAGTCGTACAGGCTTCTTCAGGCTGACTATCCATTGATACGGCTGTAGAACATGTTGGAGCACAAACGAATTGTGACATGACGAATGGACATGAAATTAGATTATATTGGTTGTAAATGTCAGGACACCTACTCAGTATTGTAGCTGAATTCGCTGATCTTTCGAATATTCAGTTATGATGGTCATTTTTAAACACTGCTAAGCGTCTATATTTTAATGATTATGCTACAAAATAAGAGCTTACTGTGTTGAGAAGCTGATCTTTGACAGTTCCGTTTGGAGTTTACTGCTGTATTTTCACTATTTTTATCCTCTTAAATTCGAGACAAACATTTGGCCACATCTAGCAGTATGCAGGTACCATAAAATTTCCCATCGTTTAAGTTTCATAGAGTTTCACAATATCAGGAGAGGATGCTAGAAGATGAAGGAGAGAGAGAATCAAGATAAGAAGTAGGTAGGAGGAGGACGAAACAAAATAGGTAGGGAGACTAGAAGTATTCAAAGGAGGACTAGAAGAAGAAGAGGAATAGGAGGAGGAGGATTGTATGACGAAAAGTAGGCGTAGAATGAATAGAAAGAGGATGAGGAGGAATAAAAAGTAGAAGCAGGAGTAGCAAGAAAAGAAGCAAAAGAAGAACCAAGAAAAAAGGGTGAAGAATCTCGGGGCAAGAAAAGGAGGAGCAAGAAAGGAAGAAGAAGAAGAAGGAAAACGAGTAAAGGAGGAGGAGCAAGAAAATGAGGAGAAGCAGCAAGAAAGGAAAAAGAAGAAGGAACAGCAAAGAAGGAAGAAGAAGGTGGAGGAGGAGCAAGAAAAGAATAAGGAGTGGAATAAAAGTGAGGAGGAGGAGTAGTTAGAAAAGTATAAGAAGAAGGAGGAGGAGGAGTTGAATAGAATGTCGAAGGAGAACTAGCAATAAAAGAAGGAGGGAAGAGGCAAAGAAAAAAGGAGAACTATCAAACAAAAAAAAGAAGAATGACGTGGAGCAAGAAAATGAGGAGGAGGAGCAAGAAAATGAGAAGGAGGAGGAGCAAGAAAAGGACGAGAAGGAAGAGCAAGAAAAGGACGAGAAGGACGAGCAAGTAAAGGACGAGGAGGACGAGCAAGAAAATAAAAAGAAAGGTGAGCAAAAAAAGAAGGAGGAGGATGAGCAAGAAAAGAAGGAAGGTGAGCAAAAAAAGAAGGAGGAGGAGGAGCAAAAAAGAAGGAGGAGGGTGAGCAAGAAATGTAGGAGGAGCCAGAAAATAAGAAAGAGTAGGCAATAGCAAAGGAAAACGAAAAAAAAACAAATAAAATAAATAAGATGATGAGAAGTAAAAAAAAAAAAATGGAGTGAAAAGTACTAATATGAAGGCAGAGAAAATATAGAAGATTAAGTCGAAGAAGAAGAAGCATGAGAAAACCAGGAACAATAATGCAGTAAATCCGTTTTTGTCCTTTCAAACCAACTAGATAGCTCATTCTTGCCGACAGTTTCCCTAGGAAAATCTTTATTTTACTACCGTTGTTTCTTTCTGTGTAAATGTTGTCTTGTTTGACTTCGCCTAGCATTGCCTGGCTATGTGTCTGCACTATTAGTCGCATCTGTGAGTGAGTAATCGAAGCCTGTTGGATCATTTCCAAGTATCGGTCCCCATTGATGTAGTCAAAGGAAAATTTATGAGCACAAATTTAAATTTGGTGAGGTAAATGCAGATAAAAAACGCTTCTAAGATTAAAAAGAAATGCAATAATGTCTTGAAGCATAGACAAATAGACATAGAAAGTACATTACTTTCCGGATTTTTTCTTTATTGTTTGTGTTCTCCGTCAATTTCTCTCGTTTTATCTTTTGGAGAATGCCAGAAAGGCAAAGATAATCAGATGTACCGAAAATGTATAGGAAGATAAATCTCTGAGTCCTTTAAAACACCCATAGATAGAGAAATTGAACAAACCGTGATAGATAGAAAGATAGAGAGAGAGACTGTGCAAATCGAAATTGATAGATATATATATATAGAGAGAAACTGTGCAAATCGAAATAGATAGATAGATAGATAGATAGATAGATAGAGAGATAGATAGATAGATAGATAGATAGATAGATAGAGACTGTGCAAATCGAAATAGAGAGACAGATCGAACAAAGCGGGATACATAGACAGATCGAACAAACTGCGATATCTATATATCTATCGCAGTTTGTTCGAGCTGGCTATATATCATAGACAGCTCGAACAAACTGCGATAGATATATAGACAGCTCGAACAGAGCGAGATAGATATATAGACAGATTGAACAGAGATAGATAAATAGAGATTGAACAGAGCGAGATAGATATATAGACAGATTGAACAGAGCGAGATAGATAAATAGACAGATTGAACAGAGCGAGAGAGATAAATAGACAGATTGAACAGAGCGAGATAGATATATAGACAGATTGAACAGAGCGAGATAGATAAATAGATAACAGAGCGAGATAGATAAAACACAGATTGAACAGAGATAGATAAATAGACAGATTGAACAGAAGAAAGATATATAGACAGATTGAAACAGAGCGAGATAGATAAATACAGATTGAACAGAGCGAGATAGATAAATAGACAGATTGAACAGAGAGATATAAATCGACAGATTGAACAGAGCGAGAAAGATATATAGACCAGATTGAACAGACAGATAGATATATGAAGATTGAACAGAGCGAGATAGATATATAGACAGATTGAACAGAGCGAGATAGATATATAGACAGATTGAACAGAGCGAGATAGATATATAGACAGATTGAACAGATATATAGACAGAGAACAGAGCGAGATAGATAAATAGACAGATTGAACAGAGCGAGATAGATAAATAGACAGATTGAACAGAGCGAGATAGATATATAGACAGATTGAACAGAGCGAGATAGATATATAGACAGATTGAACAGAGCGAGATAGATAAATAGACAGATTGAACAGAGCGAGATAGATAAATAGACAGATTGAACAGAGCGAGATAGATAAATAGACAGATTGAACAGAGCGAGATAGATATATAGACAGATTGAACAGAGCGAGATAGATAAATAGACAGATTGAACAGAGCGAGAGAGAGATATATTGAACAGGAGACAGATTGAACAGAGCGAGATAGATAAATAGACAGATTGAACAGAGCGAGATAGATATATAGACAGATTGAACAGAGCGAGATAGATAAATAGACAGATTGAACAGAGCGAGATAGATAAATAGACAGATTGAACAGAGCGAGATAGATAAATAGACAGATTGAACAGAGCGAGATAGATATATAGACAGATTGAAGAGAGCGAGATAGTTAAATAGACAGATTGAACAGAGCGAGATAGATAAATAGACAGATTGAACAGAGCGATAGATAAATAGACAGATAACAGAGCAGATAGATAAATAGACAGATTGAACAGAGAGCGATAAATAGACAGTTTGAACAGAGCGAGATAGATATATAGACAGATTGAACAGAGCGAGATATAGATTGAACAGAGCGAGATAGATAAATAGACAGATTGAACAGAGCGAGATAGATAAATAGACAGATTGAACAGAGCGAGATAGATATATAGACAGATTGAACAGATAAATAGACGATTGAACAGAGCGAGATATATAGACAGATTGAACAGAGCGAGATAGATAAATAGACTGATTGAACAGAGCGAGATAGATAAATAGACAGATTGAACAGGCGAGAGATAGATAAATGAACCAGATTGAACAGAGCAGAGATAGATATATACAGATTGAACAGAGCGAGATAGATTATAACAGAACAGAGCGAGATAGATAAAAATAGACAGATTGAACAGAGCGAGATAGATATATAGACAGATTGAACAGAGCGAGATAGATATATAGACAGATTGAACAGAGCGAGATAGATAAATAGACAGATTGAACAGAGCGAGATAGATATAGATAAAACAGAGCAGATAGATATATACAGATTGAACAGAGCGAGATAGATAAATAGACAGATTGAACAGAGCGAGAGCGAGAACCAGAGAGATAAGATAAATAGACAGATTGAACAGAGCGAGATAGATATATAGACAGATTGAACAGAGCGAGATAGATAAATAGACAGATTGAACAGAGCGAGATAGATATATATTGAACAGAGCAGAGATAGATATATAGAAGATTGAACAGAGCGAGATAGATAAATAGAGCAGATTGAAATTGAACAGATAGACAGATAGATATATAGACAGATTGAACAGAGCGAGATAGATATATAGACAGATTGAACAGAGCGAGATAGATATAGACAGATTGAACAGAGCGAGATAGATATATAGACAGATTGAACAGACAGAGATAGATATATAGACAGATTGAACAGAGAGATAGATAGATAAATAGACAGATTGAACAGAGCGAGATAGATATATAGACAGATTGAACAGAGCGAGATAGATAAATAGACAAGATTGAACGAGCGAGATAGATAAATAGACAGATTGAACAGAGCGAGATAGATATATAGACAGATTGAACCAGACAGATAGATATATAGACAGAACAGAGCGATAGATATATAGACAGATTGAACAGAGCGAGATAGATATATAGACAGATTGAACAGAGCGAGATAGATATATAGACAGATTGAACAGAGCGAGATAGATAAATAGACAGATTGAACAGAGCGAGATAGATATATAGACAGATTGAACAGAGCGAGATAGATATATAGACAGATTGAACAGAGCGAGATAGATATATAGACAGATTGAACAGAGATTGAACAGAGCGAGATAGATATATAGACAGATTGAACAGAGCGAGATAGATAAATAGACAGATTGAACAGAGCGAGATAGATATATATAGACAGATTGAACAGAGCGAGAGAGATAAATAGACAGATTGAACAGAGCGAGATAGATAAATAGACAGATTGAACAGATAGATATATGACAGATTGAACAGAGCGAGATAGATAACAGATAGATAAATACAGATTGAACAGAGCGAGATAGATATAATGACAGATTGAACAGAGCTGAAGATTGAACAGAGATAGATATATCGACAGATAACAGATAGATATATAGACAGATTGAACAGAGCGAGATAGATAAATAGACAGATTGAACAGAGCGAGATAGATAAATGAACCCAGATTGGAACAGAACAGATTGAACAGATAGATATAATAGACAGATTGAACAGAGCGAGATAGATAAATAGACAGATTGAACAGAGCGAGATAGATAAATAGACAGATTGAACAGAGCGAGATAGATATATAGACAGATTGAACAGAGCGAGATAGATATATAGACAGATTGAACAGAGCGAGATAGATATATAGACAGATTGAACAGAGCGAGATAGATATATAGACAGATTGAACAGAGCGAGATAGATAATATTGAACAGACATAGATATATAGACTGATTGAACAGAGCGAGATAGATAAATAGACAGATTGAACAGAGCGAGATAGATAGACAGATTGAACAGACAGATTATATAGAAGAGAACAGCGAGATAGATATATAGACAGATTGAACAGAGCGAGATAGATATATAGACAGATTGAACAGAGCGAGATAAAATGAGATTGAACAGGGCGAGATAGATAGAACAGAGATAGATATGAACAGAGCGAGATAGATAAATAGACAGATTGAACAGAGCGAGATAGATAAATAGACAGATTGAACAGGGCGAACAGATTGAACAGAGCGAGATAGATAAATAGACAGATTGAACAGAGCGAGATAGATAAATGATAGACAGATTGAACAGAGATAGATAAATAGGACGAGATAGATAAATAGACAGATTGAACAGAGCGAGATAGATAAACAGATTGAACAGGCAGAGATAGATAAATAGACAGATTGAACAGAGCGAGATAGATATATAGACAGATTGAGATAGATAAAGATTGAACAGAGCAGAGATAGATATATAGAACAGAGCGAGATAGATATATAGACAGATTGAACAGAGCGAGATAGATAAATAGACAGATTGAACAGAGCGAGATAGATAAATATTGAACAGACAGATTAGAACAGATTGAACAGAGCGAGATAGATATATAGACAGATTGAACAGATATATAGACAGATTGAACAGAGGAGATATAATAAAATAGACAGATTGAACAGAGCGAGATAGATAAAATGATTGAACAGAGCGAGATATAGACAGATTGAACAGAGCGAGATAGATATAGACAGATTGAACAGAGCGAGATAGATAAATAGACAGATTGAACAGAGCGAGATAGATAAATAGACAGATTGAACAGAGCGAGATAGATATATAGACAGATAGATGAACAGAGCGAGATAGATATATAGACAGATTGAACAGAGCGAGATATATACATAGACAGATTGAACAGGCGAGATAGATAAATAGACAGATTGAATAGAGATAGATAGATATATAGACAGATTGAACAGAGCGAGATAGATAAATAGATTTAACAGAGCGAGATAGATAAATAGACAGACAGAAATAGAAACAAACTATAGAAATATTAAAACAAACCTACATAGGTCAAGAGAGATGTTGAAGAATTCTACATAGATAGAGTGAACAGATAGAAATATAAATTGAAGAAACCTCAATAGATGGGGGAGAATGCAGAATTTATAATTTAAGCCGTTTTTACTATCTATTCCATTAAAAATGTGTGAGAGAAAAATGAAACTATAATTTAGAATGCAGAAGATTAATAAGGCATATGAATTTGGATATATCGACTACCATTTTCAACGAAAAAATTAATGTGTTTTTGGACTTCAATGAAAAATTTATTCAGCAATTCTTCTGTTTTTTTATCTTATTAAGAATTTCATTTTGGAAGAAATGTTATTAAAATCTTCATTAAATTTTCTGTGATATTCTTTTCATGTTATATTTATATCTCATGCAATTAAATCCTATTTATTATCTTATTTGTTAAAATATGCACAACACAAGAAAATTATGTCCGATGAAGAAAGTACCGAAATATAAATGGAGGACAAAATAAAATACAGAAAAATATAAAGAAAATGTACGAGAAATCCTGTTAATGATTATGGCAATATTATACGTCGAT